CGTAGTAACAATCTAGAATTTTTTGAATTTTTGGAAATTTAGCAAAATCAAGAGAACCAGACCATAATGCAGTTAATGCATTTTTTCAATCCTCATAATAGTTATTTTTTATATAAGACGATAAAATGGTAGTTTATCGTTGACCGGAAAAGTTAATTTACGAGCGGAATCGCGAGTGAATTAGTTCCGGGAGACGATAATGGCATTTTATCGTCGTGTGCAAAACAAAGTTTTTTTCCATTGCCTTATTATGGACGCCTGTAGTATCAAAAATATTTAGAAATTATTTGAGTCGAACACTTTTGCATAAGTAGAAATTCGTTTTACTGAATTACACTGAAGCTTTTTCTTTTGTCGAAAAGGAAACTTTACATTAATAATTCGAGTTTTGTCGTCTTTAGGCTCGGCTACGGACTCGTAGTTTTTTCAGAGGCAGTTTTTTTTTTAGATAAATTTTTAGGTAACAAAATTCTCATTGAAATATCAAGCTTACTGTGACAAAAAAAAGCTCTTGTGTAATTATAAGTGACAATTAACTCTCTAATACCAAATAACATCATGAGAGTGAACCAAGGCTTTTCTGTTACCATTCAAAGTGGATTCAATCTAAAACTGGGATACAATTTATTCCACCTTATTCGAATTGCTCTTCATCTACGGAAATTTGTTTGTTGTCAGAAGAAATGCCATTACAATTACCACATAAGATTGAACACGGAATATTCGACTTCATACATGTGCATAATTTGTTACATCCTGACTTGCAGTTGCAATATATCATATTCAGAACAAATCAGGTGCCACTGCCTTTGACATAGTTTTTGGAACCAACATGTCTTTTTTTTCATCCCAACCCCAATGTGTTGGTTCTTTTTCATTATTAAGCCAATATTAAATTTGTAAGTAAGTCCTATAGTAATGATTCTCAGCTCCGTCTGAAGTTGGAGGCAAAGTAGCTAACTCAAAATTCTTGCTAAGAACTGGACGAGATATAAGGGTTTTGTATTTATAATATCTCAACTGATCTAAATCATATGCTAGCCTATGCCTACCAGATAAAGTAGGTAAATAAAAATGCATCTCCAGCTTTGACTATTTCAGATTTATTTGCTGGAAAATCTAAAAAAATTGATTTACAGTCGTGAGCATAAAAAATGGGACACCCGTTTTTTCCTATTGTAAAACGAGCTCATCAGCTATACCTACGGCAATGACAGGGATTGTCATATTTGACAAAAAATCCATTGTAGAGAAAAGACTGATTTACCCAAAAAAGCGAAAAATGACAAGATCTGTCAGTCGGGTGTCCTACTTTTTATGCTCACGACTGTACTTTGTCGTAAATGAGAATCTTTCTCCAAAGTTTTGTAAGTCGCTACTTTCCCTTTTTTGAACAAGCAGGATGTTTTGTCACATCCTGAGACAGCATGTGCAAACAAGATGGAATGTTTCATGTCGCCAATTTTGTTCTGATATGCATAACACCAATATCAGTTACTCTGTTAGGTTTTGCTGATTTTCCTGGTCGAAGCATGAAAATATCATTTTTTTTACTACTAACCTGAGAAATAGACATTATTCAATCTATTTTTCTAAGAAAAAATTGAATTTCTCTCCCTAGGTTAATAATGAAAATAATGAAAAAATACCTAGGTCAATAATGAAAATGACGTCATGACGCAAGGATATTGTCATGTTTCTATTGGTTCCATTTCAATTTTATACGTCAATTTGAAAAAAAAAATACAGGTTTCTGTAGGTACATAGCAAGTTCTATAAGCTGTTGATAGAGGGCAGCACTATCAAGAGGGCGTTCACAAAAAATAATTAGAACACAGATTTTAAACAAATTTTTTATTTTCTACTAGCAGTAGTAAAAAAAATTCTATATATTCCTCGGTAGAGAAAGTCATTATATACCTCAAGCATTATAAACCTCGGCGCTGCGCGCCTCGGTTTATAAAAGCTTTCGGTATATAATGACCAACTTCTCTACCTAGGTATATAATATACTATTATAACATGACCTCCGATTCTCCGATATAAAACTCAAAAACTGACAGGTGTATTTTGCATTTATTTTCTTTTAAATTCTATTATCAGAGGTAAATAAATGTTGACTGAATTGAAAACATGGAACCAAAGTCATAACATTTTGTTTTGTTCTGCGATTTTCGCGCCTTAAATAATTAAATTATCAAAACCGAATAATTAACAGAATTAAAAATTCATAAGTTGATAAATCGCTATGATACAAAATTACTTTTTATTGTATCTGATAGATTTTTTAATTCTCTTCAATTTTCATGTCTTCATTTTATTCAAAAAAATTTACCGTTTTCGAGTTATTCGCGGTTTCTCCCAAACAGTGCTGAAATTCAAGATGGCGGACGACTTTTTTTGGTGACGCAACAGTTGGAGGCATGGGGACTTTTAGTATGTTAATAAGGGGTACTAGGGCTACTTATTTTTGATAGTCGCAGCTTTATAAAAAATTTTGCATTTTCAACATTGTGAATTTCATAACTGCACTGGCCTAATGGCTCGGATTTTGGATTTGAACTTGAAATTGTAAAATTTCTACAAAAATACTCCTTTCGCTAAGAAATTGATAATCTCAAGCAAAATAGACCATTTTGGAATAAAGCTCTATCTCTCTGTCCATCCTTAGACGAAAATGACATGTTGCGAGTTGGTGGCAGATTGAGATTTGCGAACATCGAATATGATCAGAAATTTCCCCTTCTGCTACCATGCAAAAATACAGTGGTAGGTACAGCTTATGCTAAAAAAAAAGAGCATATACGTCTGTCGCGCTCTGGTCCTCAGACAACCTTAGCGAATTTTGCTGCTTCACAAATGATGGCAGATTTGCCAAAAACTCGCTTAGAAGTCATCCATCTCTTCTCCAATGTGGGAATTGACTTCGGAGGACCGTTTATGGTCAAGACTTCCATGCTGCGTAAAGCTGTCATTGGTAAAGCTCCAAGCATAAGGTGCTATATGTCAATTTTGTTTGCATGGTGCACATGCAGTTCATATAGAACTCGTTTCAAGTTTGTCCACGGAATCCTTCCTACTCGCGCTTAAACGCTTTATTGGCAGGAGAGGTTTGCCCAGTAAAATATATAGCGACAATGCTACCAATTTCGTTGGTGCTGAAAACTAACTTAATGATCTTTTTATCCTTCTCCAGTCAGTAGGAGACCTCTAACTCCATTAAAAAATTTCTTTCTGCCTCTGAGATTGAATGGAGATTCATGCCAACACGATCGCCCAATCATGGAGGCAATTGGGACGCAGTTATAAAAAGCACCAAATTCCATCTTCTTCGTCTCTTGAGTAAGTCGAGATTTAAATTCGAAGAGCTCACCACAATCCTTGTCCAGATTGAATGTGATGAATTCCAGACTGCTTAGTCCCATGTCATCAGACCCCACAGATTTGTAATTGATAACCACAAGACCGTTTCCAATTGGAAGGTCTCCAATGTCCTTACCTGAAAAGGATGTTTCTCAATGCCTGGAAAATCGTCTAAGCCTTTGGGAAAATGCACTCAGGTACGCCAACTTTTCTGGAGACAATGGAGGATCGATTATTTGAATAGGCTCCAGAATAGGCCTAAGTGGATTTACAATAAAAAAGATATAGAGGTTAATGACTTAGTTCTTTTAAAGGACGATAACGTTCCACCTCTTAATTGGCCCATGACTAGAGTCATTGTGGGTTTTCCAAGACCTGACGGTAGGGTACGAGCCGTCAAGCTGAAAACCAAGGAGGGTGACTTTACTAGGTCTATTAGCAAGGTCTATCCATTGCCAGAATATTCATAAGTGTTTTGTTAATTTCTCTTTATATTATACATATAGGTAAGATATTTTTGTTTATTCTTCGAAATAATGTTTTTTGTTTCTATTATTTGTAAATTAAGGTGTAGTAGCTTGAAGCATGCGCTTCAAAGAGAGGGGAGTATGTTGTGGAACCACATATATATATATATATATATTTTTTTTTTCTTTTCCCTAAAAATTGGTTTATTATGATATTCTCGCCCAAGGCGGCTGACGCAATGCTCTTGACCCTTTTCTCATCCATAGACAGGATAGAACACAGAAAATCGGTCTCTAGAAGTACCTGGCGCGATCCTTATGTTTCTTTGGTTCGGTGGTACAACACACACCCGCTCTCTCTCTCTCTCTTGAGTGCAAAATTAGAAGTAATTAATTTGTATTTTTCTTGATTCACTGTTTCAGTGTTTCGGCAGTTTGTGTATTGATTTAATCCTAAGAAGTTCAATAAAGTTGTTATAAAAAAGTGAACTAGTATTGGATTTATTTAAAGTTCATTTAGAGTCTCTAGTGAACATAGACTGCCATTCCCAATGTAGGTACTGATTTGTTCATTTAGAGTCTCTAGTGATTAGTGAACATAGACTCCCGCTCCCAATGTAGGTACTGATTTACGTTCAATCTCCTAAAAAAACTTCTTGATAAAATATTCTAAGTTGCCTTAAAACTTGATTTTGCTCTTTGCTATGTTTTTAGGAATTTCTCGGAAATCCTAGAAGTCCTAAAATATCCTTTATTTTTTAAAATTGAGGGTTAGCCAAACTTGATGGGCGTATGGATAGGCCTATTTCGAAGATATTTTATTAATACACTTGTGGCCATTGCTTTCGTATTGTTCTCCACTCCAAAAATGGAGTTACAGTAGTTAAAAGTACTGTTAACTTTTTTTTATGTTTAAGGAATTTTTTTTTTCGTGTGTTTTTGGTCTGTAGGGTATCCTTAATCTTGATGGAAGTTACCGAAGTTAAAAGGTTCATTTTTGAAAATTCTTGAGAATAATACAAAAGCAATGATATACAAAAAACGGGGACCTTAAGGGCACTAGTGTATTAAGAAAATATCTTCGAAATGGGCCTATCTATACACCCATCAAGTTTGGCTAACCCTCCGTCAAACACCCTGTATAACAATGTATAAAAAAATACTCCATATTTAAAACAACAATACATATTATATTTGGACTTAATCATATCAATACACTATGAAAAAAATAATAAAGAATATAATAATTTTCAGGGCCTAAACAATATTTATTACCCAAAGCTTTATAAGATATGAGTAAAAAAATGGGCAATAAAGCTGCTCAACTTTAAAAGTAGTGCTGTTTTGACAGGCTTTTAGTCTGCCAAACGATACAAACCTAGTTCTATTATATCGGATTTAAACAGACCATGTTTTACATAATTTCTTTTCTTGAGCAGTGAGCAAACCCCTTATTTCAAATAAAAAATATTTTATCCTTACACTAGTTATGGGACTACCCACTTTGGCTGAACAGGATTAAGCCTATATGCTTTTTTTACACTATATTATTATTCCTGAATATAAATAGACTACATATAAAAATTTATTAATTAGCTTTCAAGCATCAATAGATTTATTACTTGAAGGAAATTGATTCAGTTATCCAAATATTTCAAACACTGCAAAAGAAAACTCGAGCTCTAATGTACAATTTTACAATAATTCGATTTTACCAGTAATTCTAATGGATTAGAATGTAAGTTTTCGTATAGGTACTTGCTTAGCGTCGGAAAAATATTTATTGTGTAAATCTGTGAATAATCAAAAAATGTCCAACTGCATTCTATGGAAAGCCACCTCAAGACTCTCTTAACGCGCTATATAAAAATTCACGAATCGAAAATGTTTCATGTAATTATTAATGTTATTGTTATTCAATGAGCAAAATGCAAGATTCACCAAAAACTTTTCTTTTTTTTTCACAAACACCTACTTACACGCATAAAGCTTGGAAGATTCGAATTACAATACTATATATAATCGAATATGATTCACTCAGAACATTTAGCTAATTACCATAAGCAATCTTCTATTAGCCAAATAAAGCAGTTACAGAATTACAATACTTTTGGGCCTCGCACCATATAATTTTTTCTAGAGCACATTTATTCTAAATATACATCTTTACATTAACAAAATTTATGGAAATGAGAATTTCTGATAAAGAAAAGCTGTTCGTTATAGATGACAAAACACTTATCCTAAAAGCTTTAAACCTAAATAAACATAATTTTAAACAATGTGTTAAAGTTCCGGAAAGCGCCAATAGGAATGTAGGTGTTGCTATTCCCTGCAGATATCTTCTAGTCAAGCAATCGCTTTTGCTTCTGGTAAAAAGGCTTCCCAGTACTTAACGAGCTAAAATATGGTATTTTAGGATATTTTTTTCTATTCACCGGCACTCTTATAAGTTCAAACCCAAAACGCCAAATAAATCAGTTACAACTTGCTTTACCTTGGCTTGATGTTCCAAATGATTTTCCAGATATTGGATAAACATAATCTTGAAATCTTGTATTCTAGATTTTTCAAATCTTTCCATTTCTTTTTTAATCATTTGCGATATTTTATCGAAACTTTCTTGGCCCCTTTCAACTTTAGATTCCCACTGAAAAAATACATAAACACTTTTCTGCAATAAATTACAAAATAAGACCACGTTTACCTCTACAACTTCTAAATTAGCCTGCTCCAACTTATCAGTACGATTTTGCAATTCAAATTTAGCCTTCGCCTCTCGTTTTTTAGCCAACATTTGTTGGGAATGTTGCCAGTGCTGGAACAGTTTCGTACGTTCATGGAAAGCGTCTCTAACAGCCCCTAAAAGGCCTATGTAGTCTTTAAGCAGTTCGCATAAAATGTAGAAATCAGTGTTAGCTTGATCCAGGTGCAGAGTTTCAACCTGAAAAGAACAAGAATTTGTATTTATATTTTATGGTCATAAGGATATTTTAGAATGTGTTTATCTAAGTATATAATTTCCCAAAAAAAAAACCTGATCAGCCTTACATCATTGAGCCTAATGGAAAGTCTACTCCAATGTGTGAGAATTTGGGTATTTTTAGAGACCAAAACAGACCACTTTAACACGTTTAAAGCTAGTTTTGATAGATCTTAATTTGAAAGAAGTTTAAAATTGGAGAAAATGTTGAATTGCAAATTTCTACCCATTTAGGACATTTTCTCGTGATATTTCAATAACAAAAGCCAAAAAATTAGAAAATGAAAAACGACAATAGTTACCCGTACCCCAATGTAATCAAATGTTAATTTTCATGTCAGGATGCATAATTAGGTATGAATATTTCATTAGATACGAAATGGGATTCTTATTAGGAATCCCATTCAGTTAAGTCATTTACTTGAAAAAACATCTCTCTCATGGTGTTCATTAGCCAATCTGGCAGTTCTGGGCATGAAAATATTTAATGCATAATGATAGTATGACAAAAAAAACTTGGGTTAGCATAGGAGATCTAATTTATTGTAAAATAGCTTTATTCATTTTATACCCCAAACAATGATTACCTTTTCCTCTGTATCTGCTAGATGTGTAAGAGCCCTAGATAACGAATTATGATCCTCACAAGCGCTTAATAATGCTGCTGATTTAGATACTCCATTAGTAAGGATGGCTAATTCTTTTCTATAAGTAACCATAGCTTCTACATTAGTGTGAAGTTTCCTCAGTTGGTTTTCGAGGCCTTCAATGTGTGTTAGTCTTTCTTCAAACCACTGTAAAATTAACTTGTTAGTAGCAATTTCTAGCAAGCTGCAGTTTTTGACTTACGGGATCAGTTTCATCCATTTTATAAGTTATTTTATTAACAGTTTCTCCTACTTTATTAAATAACCTCATTACGCCTGCACTACTCAAAGCCGAAGTACTTGTAGCTTTGGGCAATTCCACATCTGAAATTATTTAATCAATACAAACGTTTATTAAAACTGAAAAGTATTACCATATTCCAAAAACTCCCTGAAATCAGGATCAACAATAAGAACTGGATGTTGAGCAGTCCGTTTCAAATATCTTTCCAAAGCAGCCCTTCGCCTCTCTACAAATTCACTACCATTATTTTGTTGTTCAGTACTGCTGCCCATTTTAATTTTGGTCATTCCTATAACGCTCTTCTCCGGAGCTGGCGGTATAATCCTGCCGACCTTCAAATATTTTTCTGAAAGTTTATCGTGTAGCCCCAAGAAGTCGCTAAATCGTCTTGTGACTGCAAATTCTCGTTTTTTGAAAATACGCATATTCGTTCTGGTAGTGACTCTGTAGGCTACGTAGGCGCCCATTCCATCTCCGACTTTTTGAGATTCTCCTATACTGATTTCCAAGAATTCGTCGCCACTCTCAGCTTCAGCCTTGAAAAAATAAGTTAAGTTGAGATATGGATGTACTTGAGTAACGGAGAATAACATAAATGTTCTTTAGAAAACCGGAAATAATAATAGCAACATCTATAGTAGTTTATGATAGAAATTTCAGGCACGGAATACACAATATACCACCTTAACTTATGTTGCGATTTCAATCTACTTTGGTAGATATGTTAAGTTATTAACTCCGAATGGAACAAACTATTTTGGGACAAATTTTACATAATCACGATAAAATACAAGCACAGACAAAGTAATTTCTGGAATCGGAAAAAGTGTTATTTTTAGTATTATTATTATTATGATTATAATTATTATAGGGTAAAGGGCAAATAGTGAGCGGTAAACCCGATGAAACTATTTTTGTGTTTTACATTACATTTTCAGTGAACTTAAAAAACATAATGGTTTCAGTTTTTCATTACTAGGTCTGCTAGGTCAAGTCTGTTTTTAAACTAGTCAACATTTTCTGCGTTCACTGATTCTTCCCTTAAACTGTTCCAGCTGTAGACAATCCCATTTCTGATAAAATTTGTTCTCAAGAACTTTTTGCAAGGTTCCTTGTCAAGTTTTTTATTGTAACCTCTCAAATTTGTAGTATCTTTCAGGTCACATTTATAGTAGCCACTGAGTACTCTGTAGACCTCAATCAAATCTCCATGGAGTCTGCGCTGTGTGGAAGTGGAATATTTAGTGTAGCAAGTCTGGCATCGTAAGGTAGGTTGGACAGCTCTGATCGAATCCTTGTAACTTTTCTCTACACTGTTTCTGAAACATCTATGTCTTTTGCGTAGGTAATGAGAGTTCCATATACATTGTGCATATTCCAATTTGGGTCTGGCATAGGCGTTGTGGAGTTTTAATATCATCTCTCTAGATTAATTTTTGAACGTCTTCTGAATAAAAAAGATAAAAGTATTGGTCTTTTTGGTTATGCTGTTTATATGGGTTTCCCATTTAGGGTCTTTAGTGATGATAATACCCAGGTCTTTGTGATGTTTGGATTGCAATAACAGTTGGAGTCATCAGCATGCAAGACTTGGACGAGGAGACCAGATGGTAGGTCACTGATGAATGCAATAGAAAGTAATGGACCTAAGACTGATCCTCGAGGGACTCCACTTAAAACTGGGTGTTCTTGGAAAATCCTTACTTTGAAATTTCGTTCTTCTAAAAAGACTTTTTAACCCTAGAAATCTACTCCTCACACCAAAATGATTGAGTTTGTATAGCAACCTTCCAAAAAACACCTTGTCAAAGGCCTTCTCAAATCTATAAAACATTAGTTGGTTGTCCCAAGTCATCTGCACATACTGGTGTGAAGTTAGCAGCCAAAACTTGGCAGCCAATTTGACGGAAACGCCCGAACGACCAGTGGCGTAGCATTGTTTTTTAATTCAACATAAATTCAATAAACCATACTTATGGCGTTTCCGATTGGTAGATTCAGTGCGCACTGAGTGTATTTGCATCCTTTCAATCGACCTGTAGAAGAAAAAGACAAAATTGCACTAGTTCCGCACTAGATTTACCATTCGGAAACGCCATTAGACATCTCAATATCTATGCATTTTCACTTGTTAAGGGTAGTTTTTCATATTTCGACAAGGTTTGAGCTAATTGGATTTTGCATGGGGGTTGGATATGGTGCTGAGAGAGTACCCTATTAATTTCATGGCAAGAATCGAAGTCCGAGTTGGAAAAAAATACGAAAATCTCAATATTTATGCATTTTCACTTGTTAAGGGTAGTTTTTCATATTTCGACGGGGTTTGAGCTAATTGGATTTTGCATGGGGGTTGGATATGGTGCTGAGAGAGTACCCTATTAATTTCATGGCAAGAATCGAAGTCCGAGTTGGAAAAAAATACGAAAATCTCAATATTTATGCATTTTCACTTGTTAAGGGTAGTTTTTCATATTTCGACGGGGTTTGAATTAATGGGATTTCGCATGGGGGTTGGATATGGTGCTGAAAGAGTTCCCCTTATAATTTCATGGCAAGACTCGAAGTCTGAGTTGGAAAAAAATACGAAAATCTCAATATTTATGCATTTTCACTTGTTAAGGGTAGTTTTTCATATTTCGACCGGGTTTGAGTTAATGGGATTTTGCATGGGGGTTGAATATGGTGCTGAGAGAGTACCCTATTGATGTCATGGCAAGACTCGAAATCCAAGTTGGAAAAAAATACGAAAATCTCGATATTTATGCATTTTCACTTGTTAAGGGTAGTTTTTCATATTTCGACGGGGTTTGAGTTAATGGGATTTTGCATGGGGGTTGAATATGGTGCTGAGAGAGTACCCTATTGATTTCATGGCAAGACTCGAAGTCCGAGTTGGAAAAAAATACGAAAATCTCAATATTTATGCATTTTCACTTGTTAACACGTTCGCTGCCGGAGAGATTTCGGTTGATCGGGTCCAAAATGCCAATGTTGAAAAACTATATTTTATCATCGAAATATGTCTAAATAACATAAAATATTCATCCAAAGTAGTACCTGACCCATATTTTTGCAAAAAAATACCATACCATACCATACCAAGGACTACCATGTTTGAAAAAAAAATTTTTTTTTGTTTAACTATGTCTGTGTGACATTCTTATACATGTCCCGTAGGCCAGGCACCCCCATTAACCTGTATTTACAACGAATATACTCGTACTTCACTTTGAACGACACGATGCAAAATACGAGTCATCTCGTAGCTGGCACCTGTAATAAGATTGTCTACTACGAGTTAACTCGTACTTGGCAGCGAACGTGTTAAGGGTAGTTTTTCATATTTCGACGGGGTTTGAGTTAATGGGATTTCGCATGGGGGTTGGATATGGTGCTGAAAGAGTACCCTAATAATTTCATGGCAAGACTCGAAGTCTGAGTTGGAAAAAAATACGAAAATCTCAATATTTATGCATTTTCACTTGTTAAGGGTAGTTTTTCATATTTCGACGGGGTTTGAGTTAATGGGATTTTGCATGGGGGTTGAATATGGTGCTGAGAGAGTACCCTATTGATTTCATGGCAAGACTCGAAGTCCGAATTGGAAAAAAATACGAAAATCTCAATATTTATGCATTTTCACTTGTTAATGGTAGTTTTTCATATTTCGACGGGGTTTGAATTAATGGGATTTCGCATGGGGGTTGGATATGGTGCTGAGAGAGTACCCTCATAATTTCATGGCAAGACTCGAAGTCTGAGTTGGAAAAAAATACGAAAATCTCAATATCTATGCATTTTCACTTGTTAAGGGTAGTTTTTCATATTTCGACGGGGTTTGAGTTAATGGGATTTTGCATGGGGGTTGGATATGGTGCTGAGAGAGTACCCTATTAATTTCATGGCCAGACTCGAAGTCCGAGTTGGAAAAAAATACGAAAATTTCAATATTTATGCATTTTCACTTGTTAAGGGTAGTTTTTCATATTTCGACGGGGTTTGAGTTAATGGGATTTCGCATGGGGGTTGGATATGGGGCTGAAAGAGTACCCTAATAATTTCATGGCAAGACTCGAAGTCTGAGTTGGAAAAAAATACGAAAAATTTCAATATTTATGCATTTTCACTTGTTAAGGGTAGTTTTTCATATTTCGACGGGGTTTGAGTTAATGAGATTTTGCATGGGGGTTGGATATGGAGCTGAGAGAGTACCCTATTAATTTCATGGCAAGACTCGAAGTCCGAGTTGGAAAAAAATACGAAAATATCAATATTTTAGCAATTTTTACTTGTTAAGGGTAATTTTACATATTTCGACGGGGTTTGAGTTAATGGGATTTCGCATGGGGATTGGAGATGATATTAAAATAGTACCCTATCAATTTCATAGCTAACTCGATGTCTAAGTATGGTTTATTGAATTTATTTTGAATTAAAAAACAATGCTACGCCACTGGTCGCTTGGGCGTTTTTGGCTGCTAACTTCACACCGGTTCTGCATATGGCCAGTCGTTTATAGGCCTGTAATTGACTGGAAGTTGTGTATCACCCTTTTTGTAAATTGGGATTACATTTGCACTTTTCCATTGAGCTGGTAAACGACCATTCCCAAGTGGTTGCTTTAGCGAAAGTATGCAATTTTTTAAAAAAATTGGTGGAATTCCATCTAGCCCAAGACTGGAGTCTACTTTGAGCTGTTTTATTGCTGTCTCCACTTTATCTGCAGTAAAATCAACTGCTGTAATTTCTTGTGCATTATAAAATTCATCTGAAAGGGTGGGAATATCTCCCAAGTCTTGTGTGAACACACTTTGAAATTGGTTGGCAAAGTATTCAGATATTTTGGTATTATCACTTATAATCGAGTTATAAGTATTCTTTGAGGTGAAATTGGATAACTTTGAAGGCATGGAGCGCTTGATGTACGCATAAAAGTGTTTGTCCGAAGTGTGTGCTAGATTGCCCTCTTGATCATCTCTAGCTTGATCAATAGACATTTTTGTGAGATTGTTAATCTATATTTGTCCCATAGGTCCCTCTTTCTTTGAATCTCTCTGAAAACTTGCCTAGTTACCCATGGTTTTTTTGGATTGGAATGAGTGGTATAAATTATTCTATTGTTGATGAAACTATGCTCATGAAAGCTTCCTATATATTTCCATTAGCTGTGTCAAAATTTTGTGATTGCAAGAGGTTGTTTATTGCTTCATAGTCTGACGATTCCAGTAGGTTTGCTAATAATTTGCAGCTGTGATCTGGCAGTAATTTTTTTATTTTTCTAAAAAGTAAGTAATAACCAATGTTCACTATGACCCAAAGGCGGATATCAAACATAAATTTTTTGTTGTTTACAATAATTAGACCTAGTAGTGATATTTCGTTTCCACGAATCCTGGTCGGGAGGTTTATTAACTGAAATCCGTTCATTTCTTTATAGCTATGAAGGAAATTCTGGCTATATTGATTTGTGAAAGAAACAGTTAGATTACCTCAATTGATCTCTGGGCAGTTGAAGTCTGCAATTACATACACAGGT